TAGAATGAGAGATAATATTTGTATTAACTGGATTAGAACTAATGCTGGCTTCATTTGAGATAAAAATTGGGATATCTACAGAATGATAGTTTATTGGATTTTTCATAAATTGATATTTTGTCAAAGTATTGATTAAGTCTTTGATTTCGTTTTCAAAAAAGGAATATTCTTCAACATTGATGATTTCATTTAATCAAATAGAATTTTGAATGTTTCTTTGGATATTTGTCCATCCCAGAATTTCAGGGTTGCAGTAAAATTTTTCTAAATTACAACATTTAGCTAGGATGGTTGTCGTTGTTATATTACTATTTAAAATTTGTTGTCTTTGTATTATTTTTATTCTTAACTTGTGTATATTAGGAGTGCTTTCATTATGTGCTAGTTTTTTATATCTGTTTTGAATTTTATTTTTAAATAATTTAATCTTTTTCAATTGATTTTGATTTAGTTCCAAAAATTAACGAGTTATTCGTTAGTTATGATTTCAGAATAAAATCCTAATTTCAATTGCTGTTTTAAAATCATGTAATTTATTACAATCCATTCGTTAGAATTTCCTAAAGGAGATTTTATATGAAACATTTATTCTTTTTTGAAGACTTCTAATTGATTATTTTTAACATTTATCTGTAATAACTCACAGATACGATTAAATTCATTTTCAAGATATGATTTATTTATCATTGTCAACATCTAGTTTATTCCTATATCATCTATAAAATCGCCAAATAATAATTTTCTTTTCAACTATTTTTCTTCTTTCATCTGAGTTTCATATGAATTCATTAGTCAGCAGATACCATTAAATTGATTATTTGTAATATTTATCTATAATAACTCACAGATACGATTAAATTCATTTTCAAGATACGATTTATTTATCATTAGTCAGCATTTAATTTATTTCCTATATAATCTATAAAATCGTCAAATAATAATTTTCTTTTCAACTCTTTTTCTTCTTTCATTTGAGTTTTATGAAAGAAAATTTAAATCATAAGACTAATTTTTTGTACATAAGCATACTTTATGTTTGGGGCAATTATATGTAATATCTTGTTCTTTACGATATTCTTTATATTTTTTATGTTCTTGATGAAATTCTTCAAAAGCTTCAGAATAATATGAAGATGTCCCAGCTTGAACAACAGGCTCTGATACTATTTTATTTCGAGAATTTTTGTAACTCGTTTGACTATTATATTCATTAACATTTTCTTTTATTTTTTATAAACTTTCTTGAATATTTTTTAATTCTATCTCTATATTTTTTAATTCTTTCTTTCTAAAATTCATTTGTTTAAAAATATCTTCTTCAATCTTTTTGCAAGGTTTCTTAAGCAAGAGGGTCCATTAAGCTTCCTTCTTACGGATGATAAAAATATTATATTAAGTTATTTATTCTTATCCAAGAGTTTCATCTATACACCTCCGGTTCATATCATGTTTTTCTTCGTAGATTTCTAAAGAAAATAACAGCTCGACAAGATCATTGATCTATTCAGAACACAACTCTACATGATTACTTCAGAGATGCAGAACACAACTTTAGTTTCGTTTCCTACGCTACACTAGCTAGAATAAAAATATGTAACAAAACATAATATATTTATCATTCATTAAAACAGAAAAACAACATATCATACATGCTTAAAAGAAAATACTTACAGATATCTTGAAGAAGAAGTCAGAAATTTAGCCGCAGTGGCTAGCACACATTAATTTACAGAAAAGAAAGAGAGAAGAGAAAGAGGAGGGGCAGAACAATTGAAGAAATTGTTTCATTATATAGATCTTTTAAGTGCTTCAAATCGACATGGCTGATGATTATTTCTTAATAATTGAGCAGTTTTGCGTCACTTCTTACATCATCCTTTTCTTTATTTTTGAGTGGGTCCTGAAATATGCTCCACTTGGAAGTTTTTTTTTCAACTATCTTGAAATAATTCAGAGAATCCTTTAGAAGTTATCTTCTTGTTCTTTCCAGCTGTTTTCAAATAATTTTTCTTCATAATTCAAAGAATCTTTCTCACATTCTTCCTATCTCATATTTCTGGTATTGTATCTCTTTTTTTATAATACATGCATTTATGTATATTTTCCTTTTGTTGGAGCTTCTGACATAATAATTCTTTACAGCTTTGCTAGCAGATATATTATTTTTACTTAGAATGGAATACCACTTTTTATACATAACTTCGTGTATTTTGCGAGTGGTCTGTTTACAATGGCTATAAATAAATAAATTTTCAGAATAATAATAAACCCATATAATAAATATAGTCATCTTCTTTGTTTCTATCCATATTTGATATAATTCTTCAACTTTATTTCGCTGAAATGAAACTCTAGTGGGTTTATATTTTGGAACGCATGGTTCATTACTAATCCCTAATTGAATTAGAGTAATATTTCATTCTTTTACGGGATAAGTTTGAAATATTTTTATAAATATATTCTAACCCTAATTACAGAATGAAAAATTTCTACCACATCAGATAATTGCTTGGGTAAAAATTTAAGAAGATTTTCATCTTCTAAATAAATCATTCTTATCATTCCACATTTATATAATTCAGATATAATTTTTTTATCGGAATTTTCATATATATATATGTGACTTGATAATATCCAGGTGAATGAAAGTATATCTGAGAATTAATTATTTCGCTATATAAAGAAAATTATTGTCATTCATTAGCTATTTCTATAATATTCTTTTTAGGACTCATGTCCTTATTTTGCAGTATTTTTGCATAAGAGGGTTCATAATTGGAGGAAGTTAATACTTCTTTAGTAATTTTTAGCTTATTTAAAGTTTTTATTTCTTCAAAGACAGATTCTTCTTTTATATTTTTTAGATTAGAAAAATCTCTGATTTTTCTTAATTCAGACACAAATATTAATTCATCTTCTTTGATTTGCCCTTTAAGGTAATCTCTAATTTTATGGATTCTTTCATAATTCTTTCACCAAAAGATATTTCGCATTCGAGCTTCCATATCTGTAATTTCAATACTTCGAGATAGTTTGCTAAGTCTGTATTGCACTTTATGTCTTCTTCTAAATTTGTATCATATAATTTCATATTTTCATCTTGTGACAGATTTATTTCCTGCATAATTCACGAGATAAAATATCAGCTAAAACATTTTTACTTTTATATATTCTAGCTCAAAAGAGTAAGCAGAAAATCAACTGTCATCTAATTAATCTTTTATTTGATAAAAAATATATAATTTTTCATTTAATAAAAGATATAGTTATTTTATTATCAGTTCTGATTAAAAAAATTTAATTAAAGTATATTTCAAATTTTTTAATAGTTTTCTAAAAGTTCTTTTTCGTTAATATGATAATTCTATTCAGTGGGAGTATACGTACCTGAGTCGTATGTGCAGAGAAGTTCTTTCTCATTTCTTCGTGCTTTAAAAACAGCTCCACATGCAATCTCAGAACTATCAGTTTCTATAATTAAATAATCTGCTGGTATTGGCAAATGAAGCTTTGGATGATTTTTACATAATTTTTTTTATTTCTTGTATGGTATTTTGATCTTTTTCATCACAATTTTATTTCATATTTTTTCTTAACTTTTTTTGAAGAGGAGCTCTTAATTCTATTAATTTTTTTTATAAAAGCTTCTGCGTAATTAATCCATCCTAAGAATCGTTGCAAATCTTTTTTTTATTTTTTATATCTTTAAAATATTTTTTTTTAAGGATATGATCTTGTAATTCTATGGCTCCTTTATCTATTATTAATCCTAAAAATTCTATAGTGTTTCTAATAAAAACTGTTTTTTTCTTACATAATGTTATTCCATATTTTTTGGCTTTCTGAGATAATAGAGTTAAAAGCTTTAAGTGTTGAGTAATGTTTTTACTGAATATTAATATATCATCTACATAAATTAAATAAAAATGAGAAAAATCAGAGAATGTGTTATTCATTCACCTTTGAAATATTTGTGGGGCATTTTTAAGACCGAATGACATAATATTCCATTGATAGTAACCATGCTGAGTACTAAATGTTATAAATTCTTTACTATTTTGATGCATCATAATTTGCCAAAAAACAGATTTGCAATCTAATTTTGAAAAATATTTGACAGTTTTAATATGATTTATCAGTACTTCTTTATTGGATAAGAAGTATCAATCGAATTTTATATTTTCATTGAGTTTTTTATAATTTATTATCATACGAGTTTTTCCCTACTGAGTTGTTCAACATAATTTCTAACCAAAAAGGCAGGGCTGCTATGAGAAATTTTGCTTGGTTCTATTAATTTCAGTTTTAGAAGTTCTTGTATTTGAATTTGAAATTCATTTTTATCTTCTGTAGTATATTTCATTGGTCTTACACGAATAATGAGATTGGGATTGATTGGTTCTATAATTGCTACAGGTTCATCTTTTCTCCAGAATTCTAGAGGATTCTCTGAGAAAGATTGATTGAATAGAGATGATGCAAATTCTTGAAATTTTATTAATTCGGGATTGAATAGAGATGTCTCAGTCAGAATAATATGATTCAACAGATTCATAAACTAAAGATTTCTCTACTAAAATAATTGTTACACTGTTCTTGTAGAATCGATATGCTAACCGCAATATTATTTGACACGTATACTTACGTTGTGCGGCCAACTTTACAAAAGTTTTTGCACGTCATTGGTTCAAACGTTTTCCTGATGTGTAACCTACAAGTTCCAAGTAAGATAAATACATAACATATGAAAAACTAGCCCAAGGCAAGTTGATAGTCACATATTATAATGTGTTTATTTGCAGAATCTAACCAATTGATAAAGATCATGAATCTTTAAATAATCAAAAAAAGCAAATTGGCAAGAAGGATGGACAGTTTTTGTATCAAGCCAAGTTCCCTATTTTCCAAACAAAGAAGGTTGAACCATAACAAGTGCTCCATAATAGACTAGAACTGAAATTTACAAGTGTGAATAACAAGAAATTAAATTTAACACAAACCTGCAGAAATAACCATCCAGCTAGGAACATCTTCCATAAAGTATGCATGATAGCGCTGATCACATAATTTACATGGTGTCAGAACCAAAGTGAGTACTAATAAGCATCAACAATCTAATATCATGCTGCCAATATTGATAAAAATGCCCCTAATTATAAATCTAAACATATTGATTCACATCAACTTATTTTTTAAGGAATTTTAAATAAATCATGTTTAACTGTAGGATTATTCCAAGTAATCTACATATGTTTGAAGCAAAATTATCAGTGCATTAGTTAAGACTGAAGAAAACAAAACACCCATGACTCTGCAGCACGATTTCTCAAATTAATCGGCAGAGTTCAGATGAGTTTACAATAAAATTTCCATAATAATTAATAATGTAATCCTTGCGAGTAGAGCTGTCTCGAGAAGAAAGCTCAATGACCTCAATTCTTATATATAAGCAACTCTCTCACAAATCCCTTCAATTCCATACCAGTTCCCATGGATTCCAGGCCTGCTGCAAGATGGAATGTATCCAGAAGCCCTCATACCCAAGGAGGAGTGCAACAAACACGCCCTAAAACAACCAATATAAAGGAGAACTAGATAAAAAAACACGAAATTCATAGGCACTAACCCAAGCAGTTCTAAAATTGGGGGCTTACCCTCCATAAACGACTCTGGTGTTCGTGCGTTCTCTCGAAAGACCTAATCATCTCTTCCTGCTCTGAAGAATAACCCAGAAAATAAAGATCTAAGGCACCGGAGTAGAAAGATGGTGCTAGGGTCAGGGGAATTGACCTTCGGTGTCCAAAGGTTTGAAGTCGTCAATTGAGGGAAGACTGAACCTATCGTTGTCGTTTCTGCCGCCGCCGGCGAGATGGCTGATCTTCCACCATTTCCTGGTGAGCACCATTTTCGCCGCCGTGAGCTTTGTCAGCTCGCGGGCTCGTAGATCTACGTGGGTGCTGCACCCTGTCTATCTTAACCAGCCGCGGCAAGTACTCTAGAGGAAATAAAATTTGGAAAGCCTCGACCTCCCGATTAAATTTTGAAAATTTAACTTCATATATTTTATAATAGTATAAATTATTCAAATATGATTATTATTTATTTTTTCTTGTGAGAGATATATCCAAAAATTCTCTATAATGAGTATGCCCACCATAGAAAAAGAAGTATCATGCAAACTATAGAAAAAGATATATGAGCCTTTTTGTAGCTCCTCTGTCTCTGTTGATCATCGTCATTCACAATTAATCAATTTATGAGAAAGTTTTATAGTAAATATTTGTTTTGGTCAATAGTTATTTGTTCAAGAAAATTGAGATATGTATTTTGGCATTTAAATTTAAAAATATTACTTGTATTTTAAACTTGAACCAAAATGGCATTAATCATTGTACAATATATTTGAAGCATCTTCGAACTTTGATTTATAAAGTTCTCAACATGTTTTCAGCATAATTTGAAGTTGGTTCAATTATGATTTATCCAGATTAGATCAAGGTTTGAACAAAGTTCAAATAGAGTTTTATAGAGTTAGATCATGGTTGTAATAAAGGTTCACAAAATGTTTTGAGTATGATTCAAATAATGATAAAACATCGCTTAACCATTATTCAAGTATTGTTTAATTTACATTTTTTGCATTCATTATCTTTTCTAAAATTAAATAATTGGTGTTATTTTCTTATGCGTGCATACATTCACTTTAGTCATATATGTAGAAGGTATTACAATGCTTGCTCATTAATGGATTTGGGGAAGTGATGGAAAAGTTTTTTTTGATATTTTGAGGCTAATAACCTTGTTATTAATGATCGATATTTACCCTTTCAATTAGTTATTCAAGAGTCATAAGCGGTAGTTCCTTAAGGTAATGATTCATTAGCTTTTTTACTCAATATGATTGATGATGATGAGAGTGAAGGCTACTCTATTATGTTCGGTATTAGAGATAAGGATGTTATATTAAGAATGGTTGAATTTGCTCTATTCATTAGGCTAAGGTTTAGGGAATATCTATTTAAGGAAGAATTCAATAGGTTGGGTCGAAGCAATAAGGCTTTTTATAACCACATAAATGGAGATAAAAATTTTAGGAATTTAAACCTAATGAAGGCATTTCTACGACAGTATATAGGATCATGTTTAAAAACATGGGTTTGTTCGCCTTATATATATCATCGCACTCAACATGATAAATATAATACAAAATTATTAATTTTCTTAAATATGCTGAAGATAAGAAAGCTTTTTTTAGATAGTCATGAGGTAGGATGTTAGGAGAGGTGACATTAAAGAAGTTGAAGAGGGACATGATACATTATAAGAACGTTACCTTGAAGAAAAATTGTCTAACCTAAGGCACTATTACTAGATGTACTATATCATTATATTATTGGGATTTTGAAGCTATCTTCAATCTTGAGAGGGGGTGGAAGAGTTCATTATGGGGAAAGCATATTTGTTGTTGAGCTAGATGATTAAGATGGTGATAAACTTGATTTGGTGATGACTAAAATAATGTTTTCATCAAAATAAATAATAATGCTTCACCAAATGCCCAAAACATGACGGTTTCATCAAAATAAAACAATTAAAATTTCCCTATACACAACTTCACTATAGTATTCATCATTCTTATAAATATACCATGAGCATTAGACAAGGAAAGTTTGATGACTAACCACTGATAAAGACCACTGAAATCTAAGACTTCATCATCCACTCATCAACTACTATAATCTTGATTTGGTGACATTCACTAAAAAATCTTTCCTTGAAAATTAGCTAACCTCAAAAAAAAATCTAACATGTAATCCAACAAATGTATAAGAAATATTTAATTGATTCTTATCTTATACATTGCTTTATTATCTAATGTAAGGTTTATGGATTAAAATATCCACTCCCTTTTTGGATTAAAATGGCTAGAATTACATGAGGAATAAAACTCTTTTGAGGGATATCTTTTTATAAGTAGTTTATCTACTTACCTTCTTAATTCATCATACTTAGTTAGCTTTATTTAGTAATGGAGAAGGATTGAGAGTTGAGACCTAAGCACAAAATCTATGGTATGTTGTGGAAACTATTTTAGTAAATCATTTTGAGACAAAACCACTTTATTCTGATAGAAGTAAAAAATAAGGTATAATGTAATAGGCATAAGGTCCTCCACATGAAGTAAATGTAGTGAGGAAAAACCAAATAGTTCACTTTCAATGGTAAAATTTTTTATCCTCTCTATCCTTCTATATAGTGTAATCATGGTAGAATTTGATGTAAAATCACTTCCCCGTCAATTATGGACTAAATTATTAATAATTGTGACCTAGCATTTTTATGAAAAGTGGGCCTGGTCTAGACATTAAGGGATGGTCAATGTGATTCTAAGATAGTTTTCTCTTATTCTAGCTTGATAGTTAAGATCAAGATAATCTTAATCTAACCCTTGAACACATGTGTGTTTTCATGTTATAATGTATAGCACGTAAGTCCTATAGCCAAGATAAACCAAAAAAGATGCATGTTATGTTTATAGAGAAAATATTACACCAAATTTTATCTTCATATCTACACTCTTAAGAAAACTAGACACCTCCTTTTGGTGGGGCAAGTGTTGTGATTTAACCATATTGCATCGACGAGCTCATAGTGAGACTTAGCATGGTGGTTAGCCTTTATTATTGTATTGATGAATACAATATTTATGGCATTATCGCCATTAATGACAATCTTGCACCATTTATCATTATATATCACACATATGGAAATGGTATTTCTTCTTTACCTCCATTTCACGCCTAGAATTCAATCATCTCTCAAATTTAATTTGATATTTATATGCAATGTGAATTTTCTTATAGAAGATAATGTCTCATTAGAATCCTCCTTTGTATCATCATCATCTAGAAAATTTGATATATTCATGAAGTGGATTAAAAATTTATTATGGTGATGCAAGTGACCCTTTTCATGTTAATTCGAATATTTAATGTCTATAAAATTCTTAGGGCTTTGTGTAATAGGAACCCTAGAAATTTAAGTGCTAAAAGTGGTAAGGGTAGGCATAGTAGTCAAACACTTTGTACGAGTAGCAATAGTTTAGCTACTAAGTATAAGAAAAAAGTTGACCTTTTTTTACAACTTAAATGTGGAAAGCATCATCTATTAAATCAATTTCAAAATCCTTTACCTCATTTCTAATGTTCATCTGAAGATCAATGATAAGAATTGTGGCTAGCTATTAATTATTATCAATATAATTAGTCTAAAAAGCCATGACCTCAAATGTATCGAGATACTTATCTATCTAAAAGGAACCCTATCTTTAATTTAAAAGTTTCCCATGTAATTTCTTATTCTGGTGCCTTAGATAATCCATAGATTTAATTAATTTATTCATCCATACCCAATTTTTGCTACTTCTTTCACCTCCTTAACAATGTTGATCAAGCATGGCTTGGTATGAACAATGAGCTTTATCTTACCAACAGTGGTTCATTAGTAGTCATCAATCTAATGTAGAATAAATAATTCATTTATTTGTAAAACCCAATCTAAAAAATTGTTAGCGTCATGTACACTAACATAAGAGGGGTTATTCGGGATATTTCTTTTCGTGGATGTCAGATTAGGTATCTACCATATATCTTAGAAGATTTATATTTAAATGATAAGATGCAACATTTGAAGAATAATAAATTACCCTGAAGGGTAGAAATATTACCATAAAATGAATCTAGTTACTTGGATGTGAAACATCTTTAAGACATATGGATCTGTGAAACCAGTGATTTTTCTCTATCTTATGGGTGAAGGATAGAGTTTATTTTATTTTGGGGTATGGTATCCTTATGTGGATAATCCCTCATTATTAATTACATCTCAGGTGTTGTAGCTCTTGAGAGTAGTTTTGATTAAAATATCGGTTTATATTATACATGATTATACAATAAGTGACTTAAAGATTAATGTTTTAGAATTTCAGATTGATGGATACGTTTGAAAGGATTTGATTTGAGTTAAAATGATTAAGACTTATAGTCTAATGAAGATGTGTGATATAAAAGCCTAGGAAAAGGCTTAGCTAACTATGAGATGAAGGCATGACCTGAAGAATGGAATTGTGAATTTGTTGAGAAAGGGTATGGTTTTTTGGATTTGATAAATTAGATTTGTTTTGAAAAGATTTATTTGGGTTGATTTGAATTGAAAAAAGTTTGATTTGGTTCGAAAAATATTGATTTGTTTTAAAAAAGTTTGATTTTGATTGATTTGCTTAATTTGAAGACTTGAGTTAGATTGATTTAATTAAAGTCAATTAATTTGACTTAACGAAAGATTGTTATAAATTTGTTAATGTTGTTTTAAAGGTATTTGAAGTTTATATGAAAGTTTTGAATGATTGAGCTTTTGATTGAAGTTTCTTGGATTTAATTAAAGTTTATTTAGGGTTTGCTGATATTTATTTACAATTTTTGCAAGGTTATTAAGAATTTTGTTTGTGGTTAGTTGAAGTTTGTTTGAAGTTTAAGAGTTTGTTTAAAATTGGTAAAGTTTTTTCGAGGTTTGAAATTCTTCTGTCGTTAGTTAACATTTTAGAATGTCATAAGTCTTGAAAATATTTTAAAATATTTTAGGTTTAGTTTTGAAGTCTTAAAATGTTTCAGAGTTTTAAATGATTTTAAAATGCTTTAAGTTTAAGATTTGAATATATTTTGAAGTCTTTCATTTTTGTAGATTTAAGAGTTTTAAATTTTTGTTTTATTCTTGAAAAAAGTTTTAATTATTGTCTTCATAAAAAAGGTTTTGATTGTTTTGAAAGTTTTAGAATTTTGAAAGTGATTTTGTATTGTAAAAGTGATTTTAGGTTTAGAGGTTTGAATAAAGTTTTATCCAAGTTGATTGACTGAGGTTAGAATCTTAGGGTGATTGAAGTTGATTTTAGTTGAAGAGATTGAATTGAAATCAATTAGTTTTGATTTGAAATTGAAGGCTTGATTGGATTTTTAAGGTGTAA